TTATAGAAAGAAATAATAGTAAAATGGCTAAGATTAATTAGATCTTTTCTAGCTGTAGCACTTGCTTGTAGGAGGTCACATGGTCGTTGAAGACGGATGAGAGTTCTTCAGCTAAAGAAGTTGGTGACTGTCTTCCGGGCCCCAAATTGCTGCGGTGCCTTGAACGATCATGGTGAAATTATTAGCGTCGATAAGAGCCTGTTCTTTCGACTTATTGAGCCCTAAGAAGCTTCCCTTGGACGCTACGAGTCCAAATCCACACTTGTTTTGTGAGAATGATGACAACATCTCCCAAGACACAAATCACTTTTACTTTCATTCGCTAAAATTTTCTCCGACATATCAAATTATCACGTTCAAGTTATTAAACTCTCCTATCATGTTGGCAAAGAAAAAGAACATAACACACTTCTGCTTACTGTTTTCGCTCGGAAATAAGAAAAGAAAGTAAACGTATGTTATATAGAAGAAAATGTTTTTACAAGCCCACCCTTGTACGCCCGAAGGCATGACAGAAATAAACACTAGGGTACTTGGCATATCTAACGAGGTCAGGTTAAGAATACTAATAGAGGTTTCTCTCCTTCAAGGCCTGAGCGAGTGTGGGTTTGTATGCGTAAGATTATACAGGTCTTGAGAGCTGAGTTGTTCCAGGTGTTGGAAGCTGAGTCTCAGGTCAATCAAGTTTAATATGTGTAGGTTCATGCGGGCTGAGTTTTACAGGTCAAGTTATGTCGTATGTTTATGCGTGCTGAATTGTACATGGTTTAAATAATTACAATCATAAGGATTTCAAGGATAGTATAAGCTTATTTCATTCTCAACATAATCATACGAACAACACTGATATAAATGATGTAAACTCTAACAGTGCAACACTATTCACTAGGATTCAACTTTTTAGAATCAAAAAAAAAAGTTCTTTATTCTAGGATACTTCGTACACTTGGCAAATTTAAGGATGTTAGACTAAGCATACTCATACAGGCTTTCCTTCTACAAAGCCCGAATGATTGTGGGTTTGTGTGGGCTCGATTACACAGGTCTTGGGAGCTGAGGTGTTACAGGTCAATTTACTTTAATTAGCACGTCTGTGCGGGCTGAGATACAGGCCATTTTAATTGAAAGAATCGTCGGTCTGTGTGGGCTAGATCATTACAGGTCTCAAACATTCCAGGCCAACGAAAATTAACCATTGCGCCCGAAAGCCCGGCTGCTTCCAAAAGCAGTTCCCCAAACAATTCACTTTTTTCCTTTTTTTCATCCTCTAGTGCTAGACAGGTCATGTGTAAGGGGCTCCCTCAAAAAAATTTGCGATCATAAGCTCCATGCTAATGTTTCCTATCTTCCACTAGAATCAAGCATCAGTTTTTGTTTGGCTCTTCCTCTGCAATTTCGCGGTAATCCATCGAGAGAAGTTGACCCGCCATCTTCGGAGCCCTCACATTCCGCGCCGGGCCACAGGCCTCCGCCACGTGACTGCCCGTCGTCCATCCACCAAAAGCGCCATAGTTTATCTTTCCTGGCACGAAATCAAGTGCATACTATACCGCGTTCCGTCGCACGGAGCCTAGCGTGGACCAGTATGCACAAACTAGTAGAAGTAGCGAGAAGGCCAGTTGCATGTTACTGTTGACAATTGTATTTTACATCTCTCTGATTATACACTACGAAGCGAAAGCCGGGTCCAAGTCCCCCGGTTCCTGGCTCTCCTTCAGTTCTTCCTCGGTCTTCTTCTCCTGCGGGGCAGTCTCTCCGGCCGGAGCGCTCTCCTCTAACTTCTCCGGAGCCACCTCGCTTTCGGGCGCGGCCGCTTCGTCGGCACCGTTGGCGGAGGGCTCTGCAGCCTCCGGCTCTAGGCTGTCGTCGGTTTTCTGGCCAGGCTCCGCTGCGCCCTTTTCGCTCAGCTCGAAAGCATGCTCTGCCTGCGCAACGTCGTCGGGGGAGCCCTCGGAGCCGGAGGCGCGGATGTCCGCGACCTGCTTCTGCAAGCTCTTGAAGTCCTTGACAAGCTGGTCTTTCAGGATAGGGAGGCTGAGGAGCTCGTACAATTTGGCGGGGTCGTCGTCGAAGGTGAAGCCGTTGGCGCGCATCTTCTCGTCGAGCGCCTTCAAGAACAGCGGCTCGTAGAGCTGTGAGGCCTTCTTGGTGGTTTTTTTCATGATGATCAAGTTAGTCTCTGTAATAAACGTCATGTCTATGGACGTGGAGCCGGCGTCGGAGTCGGCGATGTAGTTGATTCTCAAGGGCGGGGTCAAGGTGTAGTGGTACTGCTGGCTCACCTTGGAGATGATGGGCGCAGTGTTGTTGACGTCGTGGACGTTGTGGGACGAGCGGTTGAACGCCAAGGGCGTCAACAGGCCGATCAACGGGTCGACGTAGATCAGGCTGAAGGAGTCCAACATGATCTTCCGGAACTGCTCCTCGGAGTTGATGGCGCGGTTGTTGCTGAGCGACTCGACCAAGTACGACGCGAGCTCGGAGATGTAGGTGACCAGCTCCACGTCCTTGTCGCGCACCACGGCCAACAAGAAGTCGTTGAAGTCGCTGTACACGTTCGGGCGCGCGTAGGGGTCGGAGTAGCAGCTTCTGCACAAGCGGTACATCACGCTCATGGAGTCGTCCGCGTCCAAGGCCTGCGCGCAGAGCTCGCAGTTGGTGGCGGCCGAGAGCCGCGAGCGGTCGCCGCCCTGCTGCTTCTGCTGGTACTGGCGGTAGTGGTTCTGCATGCGGTTCAACGTCTGCGACGTGCCTAGCAGCACGTCTGTGCGTTTGATGGCGGCGGCGGCGATGGCGGCCGCGGCCGCGGACGACGTGGGCACGGCGCCGGGCACGCCCAAGGCCCCCGGCGGCGGCGCGGGCGCGTTGGGGGCCGCCTGCGGTGGGGCCTGCTGCGAGGCAA